TGTAGAGTCTAGTAAGCTTGATTTTGTCACTCCATGTATTTTATTAAATTTACTTAATAGTTTGTTTCAACATGTATATCCTGAGAATCTGTACTTGAAATGTCTACATCTGAGTTTTATCATGGACCTCTGCTGGGGTAGTGGGTTAACAACTGAAATGTCAGAAATTTTCATCTATTAGTCACTCACACATCAGTGGTATAAAGCATTCTACACTCGCTAATATTTACAGCTTAAGAAACTCAAAGGAGAGTCACCATGACTGCCATGGATTTTGGGTGTGAACTTTAGAATTAAAAATAAAACAAAAAGATAATAAAGACAAGAAAGAAAAGACTGAAAAAGCCAGTCATACTTCGCAAGACACATTTTTTATGAGAAATTAAAATTCTTGATTTTGCATAAAATATTTTCTTTGTAATTTTTTTTAATTTAAGTAGAGGATGTGTTTGTTGCTACTGTTATGTGCTATGGAGTTGCCTACATATATTTTCTAATAGCCAAAATTTTATTTTAATAGTCAATTTCTTAAAATTGGAATATATCCTTAGCTTTCCATTACAGCTTATGGGTTAATTTAGTTTGTTGTGAATTTATACCAAGCTGACCTATTCATAATCCTTTCTATTCAGAATTCTGATTTATAATGTGAATAGGAATCTGAAACAAGAGAGAGTTTCATATAGTTAGTTTTTGAATACTGTAAGAATAGCTCAGTAAAGCAGTAGAACTTGCATTTTCAAAATAGTCATCAAAATGCCAATTATGCCATCCAACACACACCAAACACAGACAGAAAAAAATATTTAAATGAGAGCTAAGTTCAAAAAAGCTAATTTACAGAACACAACAATAAAAATATCTGCAATGGACTTTTGTACAAATCTTCAATAGATTAATATACTCTGTAGGTTATACAAATATGAATATTTCAGTAATCAAAAACCACTTTGACAACAAAACCAATCAAATCTTTTGAAGGTTTTTATTCTCATATTTTATTTCAAGATCACATAGCTATTTTAATTTTGCATGCTACATTCTGTTATAGAAGTACCTTTGTGAATGTTTCCTAGAATACTCACTTCCATGTACCCTCCAGCATCTCTTACCAACTTATTTGTCTCATTTATATGTCACCTTTAATTTATGTGCACCACTGTATAATGTGTACACAGCACAGAAAAAGAAATATCGAAGTCTGTTAATAAATAATTATAATGGAAATAAATGTACATTTAGCACTGAAAACTCTTAGTCAGAGATCATCTTTTGTAGGACTATCTCCCCACATTTATTTAGCAATATTTATTCCCTCACTAAATACATCTTTATTTCTATTTACATAATAATGTTAAAGTTATTACATAATTGATTGTAAATTGTGAATAACCTAAATTAAAAAGTCTCTTGAGCTACACTCTTTACCAGAGCATTCAATCATACTTTTCTTCTTGGAAGTTCCACTGTTTCCCATCTCTAAGTATTGGCCTTGCTTGCTGAAACTAAGGAAGACAGGAAGTATTTGCTGCAGGAAGTTAAGAACTTTAAGTCTTCAAAATAGATTGAAGTTCAACATTAATAAGATAAAGATTCTCATCACTGGGCTAATTCGAAACACAATAATAGATGGAGAAGAAATTGAGGTTAACAATTACAGCTTGGTCAATTCCACAATCAACACTCTTGGCACCAGAAGCCAGGAAATCAAAATATAAATTACTTTAGGTAAATCTGCTGTCAGGGACCTCTCCAGAGTACTGATAAACAACAATGTCAGTCTAGAGACTAAGGTGCACATGATCTAGTCTATGGTATTTGCAATTACTTGCATCAGAGAGTTTGACAATGACTAAGGATGACAGAAGAATTGATGCCTTTGAGTGGTGTTTGAGAAGAGTTTTAAATATACCATAGACCACCAACAAAATAAATAGGTCTGTTTTAGAGAGTGTAAAGTGAAGTTTCTCCTTGGAGGCTAGGGTTTTGAAGCTCTTTCTCACATATTTTGGACACCAGAGGGACCTATCCTAGGAGAAGGACATAATGATCAAGAGGGTGGATGGACAGTACCCAGTGAGACGGACTGATACAGTAACTAGGGCAATTGGGAGTATGTGTCAGAGTTGGTAACACTTACTTAGGACAGAGAAGGCTTCATAGAGTTGATATGAGTTGCAGATGACTTGATGGCACACAACAACAAAGACAAATAAATATTGGGGGGCTTTCTAGTATCTTTCTAAATGACAGCCACAGCCAAATTCTTTTACCTATTGTTGATTGTTGTCAGTACTTTTCCTATTCTACCTAACACCATCTAGTCATTTCAGACACATAGCAATTCTCCATACGATGTCCATGGATGCAAATCGTTAGAGGAGGAGACTGTTCATTTTTCTTCCACCAGAAGATTGATGGATTTTAGCTGCTGGTATTTCAGTTAGCAGGCTAGCAGGGTTGTAAGTTGTATAGTATCTCACCAGGACATCAAGATTGGAGGGATGTTTATAAAAAAATCCACATTATGCACATGACACATCTTGCTTATAAAAAAATGTGGAAGATATGAAGCACCTAAAGAAATAAATCAAAGACTACAGCCTTCAATATGAATTAAATCTTAATATCAAGAATTTAAAAACCCTCTAGACTTTTTAAATTCCACTAGATCATTAGGCAACATCATGATAAACAAAGAAAAGAGTAAAACAGTAAGGATTTCCTTTAGTTGGATCCATTATTAACACCCATGGCAGTAGCAGTTAAGAAATCAAAAATGTTGCCATGTGAAAATCTGCTGTCAAGAACTTCTTTTGGAACTGTATGTACACTATGGATTAAATGAGGCTAGGAGGAAAGTAAAGTAAAATAATAAATATAGACAGGTAAAAGAACAGTAATAAACAGTAAAAGTTTGGCTTAGACACTGTAATACATTAATTGCATCAATCAATGGTTATATCTATGAAAAATTGTCTGAAAAAAATCAATTTGATTTGTGAATTATCCCACAAATGAAATAGATATTAAACATTGACGTGCTAAAAAAAATATAATGTTGCTTAGTGTTCTTAAGTTGAAATGGACTTCTAAGTGACTCTGTTTTCAGATGTGATGAATTATGTGGGAGGAGATTGTCAATATCCTTTTTCCTGCAGAGTAGTTTGTGAGTTCAAACTGGCAACCTTCAGGTTGGCAAAGCAACTCTTTACCACTAAGTCACTAGACCATGGATGTTAGTTTAAAGACTGGGATATGCCTCTCTCAAAGGGCAAGGTGGCTATGTCCAAACTCATTGATATTGAATCAGAACCAACTTATGCCCTACACTCCTTTGGATTTCTGGAAGCAAGGGGAATGATTACTTCTTTTATTTCATCAATTTCCAAAATAAGCGACTTAATTATCTGGGGATTACTTCATCAGGGCTCCTGTATCACAAGCTGTGGTATTTTAATTTGTTTCATTGCAGTCCTAAACTTGGACAGTGAATACAGGAGACTAAAAAAGGGTAGTGTTGGTGACCTAGAGGGTAAGGAACCGCTGTTGTGCCAACTAACTACAAGCAGTTTTGAATCCACCAGCTGTTCCGAAGGGGACAAATTGGCACAAAACTCCTGTATGATTTGTAGCCTATGAAAACTTGCTGGAGCATCAGCTATGAGTTGGTCCTAAGTTGACACCACACAACCACAACAAAACAGAATTAGGGAGCTCTGGTGTTTTTAATCTGTGGGGAGTTGTACTGCTAATTCAAACGTCATGCCTCTCTTGTGGGTTGAATCTGCCATGGACAATGAGGAAGATGGACGGGCAATCATTACCATTCAATTTATAATACCTGGAAGGACTTATAGTTGGAGGGTAAAAATTACTCTGTTCTAATTCAAAGTCTTTGAGTTTTGAGGCAGAATTGTGCCTTGAAGTGTGGTATCAGGGAAGAATATTGAATATACCATGGTTTTGGTTGCTATGTGCTGCCAAGTCACAAATGATAGTTGACTGTTTAGTGGGTTTTCTCTGGTTGTAAATATTAGGGGAGGAGATTAATCATCAGTTAAATATTAGTAGACAACATTGGGACAGCTGAGTCAGACTTTTTCTAAACCAATAAAGAAGAATTAACCCTATAAATAATATCCATACTGTGAAACTGAGATTTTTTAGCATTTAAATTGAATTTTATTATTTAAAACAGTAAAATATTTTAGACTACAATAATGCCATGCTGATCTCCATTTTGACATCAAATGTGCTTTGTAAGACTCCTTTTTTTTCCTAGGAAAAAGGCATTTTCATTTCTTAGTCCCCAAATGCTTTTGATGAAGAAAAAAAAGTTTCCACAAATGTGTTTTCTTTACACATGAATTCTTTTTTTTTTTTTTTAAGGGTTATTAAAATTTTTTTTTTCTGTTTCTAAGCTTTACAAAAGTAAGCGTATTTATTCTAATGGAAAAGAGAAACAGCAATATAGTTAAAAAGGAGTATTAAAGTATTAAAGGTATATGCCAATTTTATTATATAAATAAGCATGTTTAAATAAAATTTTAAAAGCTTATGAGTGTAACTCAGCTTTCATATGGTATGCTTTCAAAAACAAAATGAAGGTTTCTTTTTGGAAAGAAATTACGCACTAAACTTCATCACTCATAAAGACATGAAATAGTTTTAATTTTGAACATGTTAGTTTTAAATTTTATATATAGATAAATTTCACCTAAGATCTTATATCTTAAGAAATGTTATTGTGTGCTTTTGAATCAGAACTGACCCATAGTTGATCCTCCAGCGGATTTTCAGAGGCAGTTAATCACACAGGCGAAGGTTGCCCATTTTCTTTGCAGAGCAGCTAGTGGATTTGAACTGCATACCTTTGTGATTACAGTACAGCTTCTTACTACTAGGCCACCAAAGCTCCCTGAACCTGAAGCAGTACTTCTGTATGCTGTTCATCAATACTGATGTGATTGTTGTATCCCATTGGAGGGCACATCCTCATGACAGTAGGAAATATCACCACCACAACTTACTTTATCTCTTTCAGAAAGGAACTCACTGATTTCTTACAAAAATTCAAGGATGCTAATGGGAAGTCTTTGTCTGCAATGACATTTGATGAAATTGTTTGCAAGATTTCTGAACTCATTGATCCTAAGGTAAAGAGATTTCATCTCTCTTCCCTCACTTCGAAGAGTTGACTGTTTTAGTTAACTCCATAGCATGATAGAAATTCAGAAACCTCTAAATGCACCAAATCACTTACTAAGAGTATGCAAGTCAACTTGACATATAATAAATCTTTTTAGAAATACTTATTCCCAGATCATTCTAATATAAAATCAGCTCATTGATATTTACTGAATGTTATTCTTAATGATTCTGAAATGGGAATTTTTAAATACTGATTTATGGAAAAATGTGTTTTAATTAATAAAGCGTATAACATTATTTTTCTCAGTATCTGGTTCTGCCTGTATAAATAAGTATTGTCAATGTTTTGTTTCAAGGTTTCTTATGAATCTGACTGACTTCTACACTTTTGCTGATTCTTGATATGCTCCATTCTGAGTTATTTCCTTGGTTCTATCTTAGAACAAAAGGCTGAAAGTTAAATTACTATGTATAATATTCTTCGTTTTCAGAGTCAGGATAAATCAGTGCCCAGTGGGAACTGCACTTCTCCCAGCTATTCCCCACAGCCCAATTCTGCCCAGGCCCCGGAGCCAGCCTGGAGTCCCCTCAGCTCCCAAAGCTCTGCCACGTGGGACGGAGAGAATACTCTGGTGAGCCTGGGCCTATGGATTCAGAACATATTTTGATATGGATCCAGAACATATTTTGATTTGGGGCAAAGACGTGAGCTTTAATGGTCTTTGCATTTTCTTGAGAAGGAGGAAGAAGAGGAGGAGGAGGAAGAACCTTGTGTGATCTGTCATGAGAATCTCTCTCCAGAAAACCTCTCTGTTTTGCCCTGTGCTCACAAATTCCATGCTCAGGTAACCCTTTAAACTGTACTCTTACTATTTTAGCATTAATTGGTTAGGTGAGGTACATACTGACATATGTTTAGTCACATGCATATGTCAGCATTCATTGCTGTGTTCTCGTGGGGTATGAATGGGATACTTATAAGAAAAGTGGGAAGTTTTGAAATTTAATTGATACAGTACACAGATCTTTAGAAAAGACTAAGAGCACTGTTGATTCACGTACTATTTTATTGACAGAACTAGCAGCAGTACTACTTTCACCTTGCTGTACTGTAAATATCACATACTGTTCTTTGTCCAGGAAGCTATGTCCACACTTAATAAGCTTACCTCCCTCCCCCCATACTGTTAGAAAAACTGTACTGTTATAAAAACTAAGACTTTACATAGTGGTCTGTCCAGGCTATTGCTGTTCAGGCTTGAGCATTTGTTCTTAGAAAAATGTAATACTGGCATATCTTGTGTCGATTCTTGCCACTTAAATAGCTCAATTCCAGGTGTTCAGCTACACAAGTGCTATTGGGCCAAGTCCTCTGTTACAGAGATGTAATTTAACATATAAAAAGATAATATTCCACAAGGAATATTTCTTGGGAAAGTGAATAGGCAGCTCATTCAAACGCTATCTGTAAAACATTGTTTCAAAGATACCTAGATTTTGCATCTCCTGTTATAGGAAGAGATAGTAAAAAATCCTAAAACATCTCCAAGAAAGATCTTTAACTACTGTACATTTCTAAGTCTTAGTCAGAAAAGAAGTTTAAAAGAAAACATACTCTTTGCCATTGCTCATTCGATAGAATATACATATTTCATTTGCTTTATTTTTCAAGAGTAGAGTTGATAAGGAGATATATATACACACACATATATATACATATATACATATGTATGTGTATATATATATATATATAATCTGTTCCTAAAGGTAGATAAAAATGATCTAGTTTTGGTAATATTTAGGTAACAATAGATAATTTGTAGTTAAATGAGTCATCACTCTTACCCAAGAAAGAGCAACCTAAGAAATGGATCTGTAGTGTAGGAATTAGAACTTCAGAACACCATGTGAGATCACTATCGGACATCTGTACTTTTTTTGTGTTTAATTATAACTCTCTCTGGATTATAAACTAAGACCATTACATTATAAAATGAACCAGAGAAAGAATATAATGATAGTAAGTTTCCTAATCTTAACAGAAAAACGGCTTTTCATTTTCGAAACCTTTAAGATTATTCTGAAAATCAGGGTTGCAGCTTCAAGATGGTTGTAGAATATACTGTCTGAAAGAAGACAATCTGCTCTCATGAGCTCTGCTGTTCAGTAAACCTCAGGGAAGGAGCCACAACTGTAGTGTTTTTCCTGGTGATCCACCATCAGAACACAGGGTGGTTGGTGTCCCTGAGGAAGAGCTGTCTCTTCTAGGCTAAATCTGAGAGACTGACATGGAACTCCTTGCTTCTTCAGTGCATCAGGCCATGGTTGATACAACAGGGAACGTGCCCAACCTGCAGACTCCATGTTTTGCTGCCAGAAGAATTCCACAGTCACTCCAGCCGGCAGTTGCACAAGATCTGACCCAAAAAAGTGACATGCTAAGAAAGTTCAGTTGCACACTCCAGAGTTTTTTGTTTTATTTTATTATGAGTTGACACTGTGAATGGTGATAATGCAGCATGGTCTTCAGACCTGAGCAAAGGAAACAATCTGATTGGGTCCAGCCTGCAGCCAGAGTGGACAGGGCTTGAGTCAAGATGGCATTTACCTGGTTTTATTTATTATATGTGTTCTTATCTTAGTATTTTCTTCCAGTAAAAGATAACTGTTCATGCATTTCTTCAAATTGTTTACTTTACCCTGTATATTAATTTTCTCAACTAGATCTGAGCAAGAAGAAAAGTTATTAAACAGGAGAGTACAATGCCACACATTTTAGTATTCCTTTTAGCTTTTGAAATTACTTCCAAAAAAATAAAACGAAAACATCTGAAATTTATCTCTTTGTTTTCAATTTTTTTTTCTGGTTTCAAAAATGCGTGACAGTTAAGAGATGAGTTTTCTAAGGGTCAGCACCATACATGATATGTTGCAGCTGACTTGTACGAGTTTGTGAGAAAGCACCATAAGTCTCTGAGAACTTTGCTAACCAGTTATCAAATTATTAGCAGCTTCACGTCTTCAATAGTGGCAGTATATTCACCATGGAAATTGGTAAATACTTTAAATAAGGGCTCGTCTGCCCTCAGAGAGTTGTGTGTTAAACTTCTACCAATATACCACAGGACCACATCTGATTCTCATAGTATTCCCAATGCTTTGCATAAATAGATGCAGAATAAGTACCCCTAGTTGAGAAATTAGTAGTAGTAAGGAGGAGTTAATGTGCAAAAGCAAATCACTTGTTTAGTTCACTTATTGAGCTGAATTCACTAATTTTGTTTATTTGTGAACCTGTTTTCTTTGAAATGTAATCATTTAAACTTTGAGGGGATGCTTTTCTGTTCTAGAAGTATTTGATTTTACTTTGTGCTGCTTGGGCAAGGGAATCTATTTGTGTATGTGTGTGCTTTCTTACCTATCTCTTATGACAAAGTTGATACTCCTGGCCTAAATTGTGTATCTCAAGCTTGCCATTAAGAACTTCCGTTCTTATAGGTCAGAAACTCTTGAAGCTAGTATTGTGTAAATGCTGTAAGTGTTGTACATGTCTTTAGTTTCATAGTTAAGGGAATTCAGAGTTATCTTGTAAAACAAATGTACCTTGGACATATTTACAGTCTCAATTTCATTAACTTATGGATAAGATGTTTCCTAACTCAGCCATTATTTCGTCTGCGTATTTCATTGTAAACGTATCTGGCAGCTGCTTCACATTGCTATTGAAAACCTCTAATTCTGATTAATTATATGTAAAGAGTTTCCTGTAATGAATATGGATTGTAATGTATGATGAAAAAGATTTAAAAGGTAATACACTAAACGTGTAAAATGCCAAGAATACCTTAGAGTAACAGAATTTAGAGCTCACATAACTTTGTAATCATTTTGTCTGGCAGCTCAAGATTATCATCAGTTACAAGTTACCTTGGAAGACACATGTTTCTTTGTTCATGTTTATAACTGCAGTTTCACTTACATGTTGGGAAAAAAATAAATGTTTTCTTAATTTAAAAATACTTTTATGTGTGTGTCTCGGTTTAAGAATGTGTGAGGGGGTTTAACATTGAGCCTGGTGAACTCTGGCTTGAAGTGAAGGCTGTGCTCAGCTATGCAGATTAGATCGTGTAGCTGTTGGGACTTGCTGTCTGATTGGCTGTGACTCAAGAGTGACCCTGGGTACAATGAAGGAAACGCTGCCCATTTCTCACAGTTGCTGTTGTGCTTGATCCCATTGTTACAGCTGCCTCCCTCGTCCGTCTCATTGAGGGTTGTTTCCCTTTTTCACTGACCCTCTAGTAAATATCATGTCCTTTTGTAGGGACATTCCCTTAGTATGGGAGGCAGATTCTTGCCATTCTTGCCTCCAAGGAGCATTTGCTGTATATTAGGTTGTTGTTGTTGTTATGTGCCATCGAGTCGTTTCCGACTCATAGCGACCCTATGCACAACAGCCCTAAACCCTGCTCTATCCTGCGCCAACCGCACTGCCTCTGACACACCCATCCCGATTACCCCAGTCACCGAATCAATCCATCTCAAGGAGGGTCTTCCCCTCCTGCGTTGTCCCTCAACCCTCCCAAGCATGATGTCCCTCTCCAAGGACCCGTCCCTCCTGGCAACATGTCCAAAGTATGTCAGACGAAACCCCAGAATCCTTGCCTCCAAGGAGTAGCTTGGTTTAATCCTCTCCAAGATAAATCTGTTTGTTTTCCTGGTAGTCCAGGGTACATTCAGTACCCTTCTCCAGCACCACAGCTCAAAAGCATCCACTCTCCTTCTGTCCTCCCTAGTCATTGTCCAACTCTCTGATGCATAACAAGCGATTGCAAATACCATGGCCTGTATGAGGCGCACCTTAGTCTCCAGAGAGACACTGTTGCTCCTGAGTACTTTAGAGAGGTCCCTAAAAGCAGACTTTCCCATCGCGATACGCTTTTTGATTTCCTGACTGCTGGTGCCAAGAGTGTTGACTGTGGAGCCGAGCAAACTGAAGCTGTGAACACTCTCAATCTCTTCGTCATCCATCCTGATGCTGCCAATTGGTCCAGTGGCGAGAATCTTTGTCTTCTTGACATTGAGCCTCAGTCCATACTGAAGCCTGCAGTCCTTGACCCTTCGCAGCAAGTGCATGAGGTCCTCCTCAGTTTCAGCAAGCAGGGTTGTGTCATCTGCATAACGGAGATTGTTAATAGACCTTCCACCAATCCTGATGCCACAATTCTCCTCATAGAGCCCAGCCTCTCGGATAATCTGCTCTGCATACATGTTGAAAAGGTATGGAGATAGGATGCATCCCTGGCGTACACCCTTCCCAATTTTGAACCATGCAGTGTTACTCTGCTCTGTTCTGACTACTGCCTCTTGGTCCAAGTATAGGTTTCGTATTAGCACAATTAAATGTTCTGGGATTCCCATTCTTCTCAGAGTCAGCCACAATTTGTTATGATCCACACAGTCAAATGCCTTTGCATAATCAATGAAACACAGATAGACATTCTTCTGCTATTCTCTGCTTTCAGCCAAGATCCATCTAACATCAGCAACAATATCCCTAGTACCACGACCCCTTCTAAACCCAGCCTGGACTTCCGGCAGTTCTCTGCTGATGTGCTGTTCTAATCGTTTTTGGATGATCTTCAGCAGAATCTTGCTTGCATGTGAAATCAATGACACTGTTCTGTAGTTTCCACACTCAGTTGGGTCACCTTTCTTTGGAATGGGAACAAATATAGATCTCTTCCAGTCAGTTGGCCAAGTGGTTGTTCTCCAGATTTCTTGGCACAACTTGGTGAGCACATCCAGGGCAACATCTGTTATCTGAAATACTTCAATTGGTATACCATCTATTCCTGGGGCCTTATTTTTTGCTATTTCCTTCAAAGCAGCTTGAACTTCTTCCTTCATCACCATAGGCTCTTGCTCATATGTTATTTCTTTAATGTTTTTCTTCTGTGAGAAACTTACAGGTGTACAAGCAGAGTCTCTTAAAAGATGGACCCCTCTACCACTATCGCCACCTTGCACACAATGCCCAAGGGAAACGTTCTCCTTGATCACACTGTAACTACTGAGTGACTCCCACTCTGGTCATGTATTCCTGCAACTTCCACACCTTAACTGGTCTCAGACAGACATGTACTTGAAGCCGGTTGCCTTATAATCTCCCATTACAGGAAGCTCCACCTTATAGGCTCTTGGTACAAGAAGTCCTGCCTTAGCACAAGCAAAGTTGGTAACAAATACTCAGATCAAGTAGAGACTTGAGGCTCTTTGTTTGCCCTTTTAAAAGATCCCCACTGCTTTGCCATTTCGGGGTGCCAGCTTTCACTCTGGAGTTCACTCTCTTCCTAGCTAACATTGTCTCTTTACTCTCCGTAAATACCTTTGCTGTTACTTTAATAGAGTAAGTGTTCAGTTCTCTTGGACAAATGCATCCTGAGCTACTTTAAATCTTTCTTTAAAACGTCTGTTGTTGTTTAAATGTTTTAAAATTAATTTTTCTGCATTGAGACTAGATAGGAAGAGGAGAAGAATAAAAAATTACCCAAGGAGAAGGCAGTGGTTTAGATGGGGGAAATGACAAAAATGCCAAAGTTTGTAGAACCATATGTGAATCGTAGAAGCTAAAATCCATGGCTGCAAGTCATCTCCAACTCACAGTGCCCCTAAGCAGACAGTAGAACTCCTCTAGAGGGTTTCCACGGTTGTCATCTCCACAGAGGCAGATGGCCGCATCGTTCTTTTACAGAGAGAGTGGTGGAGGTGAACTGCTGACCCTTCAGTTAGCCTTTATTCTGTAGCTGATACGAGGTTGCGTGGTCAAGTAATGTATGGGCCAGTTCTACTTTTACAAGGAACTGCTGTCTGTGCCTTCACCCTAGACGTGCTGTGAAGTTGTGTTGTTGAAATGCCAGTCTCAGCTCCAAGACTGAAACCAGAGTGCTCAACAAAATAGCCCTGATAACTGAGAATATTTAGGGGACCAGTCTTCATGTGCCTGAAAGTCTTCATGCTGAAGGCGATGGAATAACTTTTCTCATTTTGAGGTGTAACTTAATAAGAAAAGGCTAAATTCTTATAGCAACAATATTTCCTTTCATCATGCCTTTGGCTGATGAAAGATGTTCTAGAACACTGTACCCTGCTCAGAAGAGCGTTGAGGGCTAGAGGACTCCCGAGGCTACACTCTCACATCAGAGATAATATACAAGCAGCCTTCAGTACTGCAGCTGCTGTTCAGATACAATGGTTTTGGAATGTGGACCTTCATACTTAATTGAGTCTATGTACACAACATTTTACAACATTTGTTTATTTTTTTCTTCATTAATTCCACAATGTATATTTGTGTCCTTATTTTATATGTGATAAACTGTGGCTCTAATAAGAGAAATTATGTGTCAGAGTTTATAGCTATA